CACTAGAATGTCTGAAGGTGCTCCTTGGATTTTGGGCCCGCCTATGCATCTAGATGGTAAAAAAGCCTCACACTTGTGATAGCTTCATACTTGCATGAAATAGCAAAATGTGTTCTGGGGTGTAATTGTAGGTATGCCTATGCTGTGTGTGAGAAAAACCTGTGAAAACCTTGTGAGAAAAAACAAACCACATTTTATTTAGTTTCTTAATTTTCCAAAACATTGTGAAAAAAAAAATGACTTAAAAACTCACCTTTCCGCTTACTAAACTGTCTACTTTCTAAAAAGACATAATTTGTGGGTATTTGTACTGTTCTGGCATTTTAGGGACCCAGAATTGAGATAGGTAGTCCGTACATCAGGCTTGATCAATTTTCTAATATAGTAGATTCTATAACTTTCACACAGACACACCAAAGAAATGTAGCAGAATACATTTTGGCCCAAGTTTTTAAATAAAGATTATTTGTTTGTAAAGGTTTAAAACGGAAACAAAATCATATTTTTTTCCTTTATATAGTAAAAAAAACTCAGTGGTTAATAAATATCACCAAAACAAAAAATTCTGTCTCAAAAAAATATATATAATTTATTTTGAGTACAGTGTTGCATGACTGAACAATTGTCATTCAAAGTGTGACAGCGCTGAATACTAAAAATTGGCCTGGACTAGAAGGGAGTGTTACAGTCCAGTTTTCAAGTGGTTAAATCTGAGAAAAAGAAATGGGTAATGGGTAAGAGATCAGCTTTAGGAAGACCACATGCCATACTAATGATCAGTTCTTTGTCCTCTTCCTGCCTTTTTTTGGCACAGCTTCTAGAGTTCAGTTCTTTTTTTAAGTATCTTTAGTGAAGTGTCTTGCCTTATCGCTTTGGTGCCATTTGATAACAGAAAGGGCATGGTATATTTAAAGAAGAATTCAGCTGAAAAAGCTTAATACCATCATCATGGCATTGCAGAGATTACAGATGGTTAATATGAGCATTAGGTGAGCACAACCTTTAAATATTTCCTAAAAATCATTTCATGATACAATAAGGCAAAGGGTCAAAGCTATCATCCTACAAACTAATACAGTTATTTAATCCAAGGTAATCATCCAGAAAGAAATTCAATATGTGATTTGTCATATAATACAAACATATTTTATATGAAATACACAAATAAAAAAACCTAATGTTTGGTTGTACAAAATAAAATTTTAGAATGGTGTTCCATTATAAAAAGAAGAAAAAACATTTTATTCAGTTAATGCTAAGTCCCCTGATAACCATTTTTACTATACCAGTTCTAGCATTCTACATGGTTTGCCATTTATACTGAGAAAATGTGATATTTGCATTGTAGTATTCTCCAGTAGACTGACTGATGTAGAAGCAAACAAATAATATTTGCATGCAGTTTTATCATCAAATTAGTTTTACCTTTCTGTGCTTTGCACTTGACTGCTATTTTTCTCCTTCTGTTCTGTAACCTGTACTCTTTTGAGTGGAGTCTATAAAAATCTGGAATTGGGAAAACATTACTTTAGAAAACAATAGTTTATATGAATAACATTATACTAACACTTCCCATTTGCACTTGAATGATTATGTTTCACAAAACAGCAATAACCTTCAATTTACAACCTTCTTTGTGTTTTGAAGTCCTATATTTTGCTGATAATTTGTAAAAAAAACTGCTCGAAAATGCAAAAAAAAAAAAAAAAACCAAAAATGAATATTATCATTGAATGCCTTACTGTGATTCACGATACTATTCTGACCTCACTGTAGAAGAAGGGGTATAACTTAAAAGAGAATTAAATGTACTTCTGAGAGTCATTCAAGGAATATTGTATTTCTTCAGAAATGATCCATGCACAAAAAACATTAATATGTAAGTATTCTGCATATATTATGTAGCATTAATGATGCAATAAATGTACAGATGGAATCAAATTTATTGTAAATACGAGGGCATAAAATGGACAGGAAATAAAACTGAACATTTTCTTCTATTTAACTCTTACATATCAGAAATGTATAACTAAATGCAACTATTATAATTTCCTATGATTTCATTTACCTGGATGATGTCTCATGTTTATTTTTTCATGTGTTCATCCACTGTGACTTACAAACCTATCGACAGTGATGTAGAGATTATTTTTTGTCACTAGGGTAGGAAAATCAATCCACCATGCTGGGACAAACCAAAACTAGACGGAGTTTTAGAGAAAATTCACAGACTTATTGTGATGCTCACCAAAAGTTCTACATCATTTAATGCTGGGTTGATGCTTACCAGGCTTCTCCATGCTGCCTTGCAGCCTTCTCAGAGTTCACTGGATTGTTTGCCTTGTATTAGAGCTTAACAGACACATAGACCACAGCAGCACAGCTGTTTTTAGTCTCCAAGCATGGGTCAGGATGACAATGCTGAAGCTTATTTGGTAGATAGTTGCCACCCTATTAAAGGAAGTGTTTGAGCAAGGACTTTCAGGGCAGGATCACCTGGTATTATTTTAAAGAAAGTTGCAGACTTGAAAAGCTTAACAACTTTTGAAATTATATTATCATGTTAAAGTTTATATGATAGGGGTCTGGTATAGATGAAAGGAATCCCCTACCGTTGGTTTACAAACAGAAGAGGGTAGCCAAAGCTGTCATTTGCCATAAATTTTAACAGCACTTTTTCTGTAAATGTCAGTTTTGCTGTAGTAGGTTGTATACACTATAAAGAAGATTAAAAGCCCCCCCCCCCCCCAAGTTGTTACTTAAAGTCACTTAAAGTGATTATAAAGGCTTGAGTTTTTTAAAATAAAAAATAACAAACATATTTATACTTACCTGCTGTATGCAGTGGTTTTGCACAGAGCAGCCCAAAACCTCCACTTCTCGTGTCCCCCGTTGGCTCTCCTGGGCCCCTCCCTCCCATCAGGTGCCCCCATAGCAAGCAGTTTGCTATTGGGGCAACAGCTGGTCCATGTGTCCATTCACACATGGAGTTGTGGTGTGACCCCACCCCCTCTATCTTCTCTTTGGCTCACTGGCTGTGATTGACAGCAGTGGGAGCCAATGGCTCCCACTTCTGTTTTAGCCAATGAGAAGAGGTTGTCCCGGGATAGCCGAGACTCCAGTGTACATGACTGGATCAAGAGGAGTCTTAGGTGAGTATTGGGGGGGATGGTGGGGCTGCTGCACACAGAAGGTTTTTTAACTTCATGCAGAGAATACATGAAGGTAAAAAACCTTGAGCCTTTAAAATCACTTTAAAGGTCATTTGCACTTTTTAATCTTACCCATGAAGTATTATTAAAATGGCTGTACCCCATCAAACATCATTCTTAAATGCTTGATACTTTGAAGCAGAGGTAGTGAGCCAGTCAACAGTAAATAGCTTTCTCCCCTCCCCACCAAAAAAAAAAACACTCAAAAAAAACAAACAAAAAAACAGGGAGACTCGATGGACCACTTGATCTTTTTTTTGCCATCACTTTTCTATGCTTCTATGTCTTTGTTTCTAAAAAATCATTTGTTGCTTTGGTACATGCTCCACAGGAGGGCCCAGTCCCCCATGTCATTTGTTTAACAATCCCTTGCCTATTAGCCAATAAAATAGCCATTATTTTTTTTATTATTTGGCTCCCATTGATTTGAAAGGGGTTTAGACTTTGAACCAAACTCATGTTCTTGCCAACCTAATGCTGCCAGGAGAAGGTGCTAACCACTTAGCCACCATTAAAGGAAACTCCCTTTTTAGCTCAACTTCCTCCTCAGCTCTGATCATGCATGTAAAAAATGAAACAAACACATTAAAATAGAGCTCTCTGTTTTATTTACTAATCACATTCACAATGCTATAAATACACACGGGGCAAATAATAAATCAGCAACTTTCTAAAGATTAATCCCATCCCTTGTACTAGTGTGATGACATCAACAAAGCTCCACCCCAACCCTCTGAGGAAGTCCTTGGGGACATAATGAGTAAGGAGTGGAGAGGAGCTGACATCATCATTCTAGCACCAGCACCCTCTGGCTTAAAATCTCTGCAGATATGGGCACCTTCTGCCTGACAATCTCTGAAAATAAGGACAGCCACCATTGGATGGATGAGTATCATATTAAGGTGGATGGATGGGGTTAGTCTTTAAAAAGCTGCTGGTTTATGCTTTTGTCTTGTAAATGTGTATTTTTTAGATCTGTGAATGTGATTAATAAATACAATGGAGAGCACTATTTTGGTGTGTTTTTTTAATATGTTGCATGCATGGCTGAGCTGAGGATGAAGGTTCCTTTTAACCCTATGTGATATGGGTTCACTATGATGCCTGAATATGGATGTAGAGGATTTTTACTCTTGTGATTCTATCAAGAGCTGTTAGACCTGTAATGTAAGAAGTCTTCATTTAAGGAGAGCTCTTTGGCTGGCACATATAAATTCGAAGAATGGCACCATGTTTTTTAGATAATATACAGTACTCACATATTTGGACCATGGGACTGAACTTAACATTTGATTTCTATTATATTTCAAAAATGACTGCGCTAAGGTCACAAATAGACAAAATAAACTTTGCAATCTTTAAAGTGATAGCGCTGAGCAAAATACAAATACACAATATTAATAATTAGTCCCAACATGGTGCAATGGTGCTGTATCTTTAACGTGTGATACTCCATGTTGAAATGACAAGTGCTTTACTGTGTTCACACTGGTGCCCCACATAGATGTAAACTCACTGTCATTTCATGACCACCTATCTCTAGGTAAGCCACACAATAATCCCCCCTCCACCAAACTTTACACTTGGCACAATGCACTAAGGCAAGTACCGTTCTCCTGGCAACAGCCAAAGTCAGACATGTCAATCGGATTGCCAGACAGAGAAGCATGATTCATCACTCCAGAGAACATGTCTCCACAGCTCTAGAGTCCAGTCTGGTGTGCTTTACACCACTGCACCTGAAGCTTTGCATTGCATTGTGATGTAAGGCTTGGATGCAGCAGCTCGGCCATGCAAACCCATTCCATAAAGCTCTCTATGCACTTGTTGTTATGCTAATCTGAATTCCAAATGAAGTTTGGAGGTCTTAAGCTATTGACGCTGCAGACAGTTGGCAACTTCTGCACACTGTGCGCTTCAGCATGCGCCAACCTTGCTCTGTCATTTTACGTAGCCTACCACTTTGTGGCTGAGTTGCTGTTCCCAGTTGCTTCCACTTTATTATAATACCACTAACAGTTGACAGTGGGATATTTAGTAGCAAAGAAAGTTCACGGATGGACTTATTGCACAGGTGGCAACCTATCATGGTTCCACGCTTGAGTTCACTGAGCTCCTGAGAGCGACCCATTCTTTCACAAATGTTTGTAGAAGCAGTCTGCATGCCTAAATGTTTGATTTTATACACCTGTGGCCATGGAGGTGATTGGAACACCTGAATCCAATGATTTGGAGGGATGTCCCAATACTTAAGGCATATAGTGTGTGTGTATGCGTGTGTGTATATATACACACATATATATATATATATTGTAAAAGCATTCACATTGAGTATATCTAGACATGTTTTTGGTTTGATGTATTGTGTAGCAATTATTAAGAAGGTGGGGATAGTGCGGTTTGAAGTGTTATTCTAAATAGATTGTTCACTTTGAAAGGGATGTTGCACATAGCAAGGGAAATTTCCCCAGAGCTTAGAGAATGTGGCAAAATTTCACTTTGCAAAGAATACCCAATCAGGTGCAAGGAAAAAAATGCATTTTACATATAAATGAATGGGTAATAGTCAGTAGAGCTTCATCGCATTCACTAAGCTCTGTGAAAAATTCCTATACAACGTGCGACTTCCCTTGCGAAGTGAACAGTCTATTTGCCTTTAGTAAATCAACCCCATATTGCCAATTTCTAAAATGAGGTCACTATGTGTGCTGTGGTGCACCCTGGGTTTTGGGGCTCTAGAAGATATGTGCAGGCACCCAGAGGGTCAGCATTTAATCTATATTACCTGTTAAGTCACTTCACAGTAGCTAGAGGTTTATTTAAACTATTTGTAGAATTTAAAACCTGACTTTAGGGTTAAAGTTTTATTTATCAATAATAAGATTTATCAATACCCACAGCCACTATTTTTTAAAAACAAAAGCTCAGGCTGCAATACTGTCATGGCAATTCAGACCACAGCCTTTCCAGGAACAAATCAAAATAACGACATTGTTCTGGCTTGTTATCAATATTTGGGTTTATAAGAAAGAAAACTAGTATAGTTATTGAGTTACATCCCAAAATGTATAGGCATAAAATATATCATATAGGAAATGACTAGTAAGACATACATAATTGGTTCATAGGCTATAATGATAACCATCTTCAATTGCAATATTAGCATACATTTACATAAATGAACATCTACTCTTTTTACCAATGTGATATCCAAAAGTGGAACTCTAATCTGAAGTTTGAGAAAATTTTAGAAACATCACATGCAGTTTATGATACATACTGTATATGGTCAGGGGCTCATGAAAAGAATAAAATATATATGTACTAAAAGCTAGAAGAATTGTAGATATTTTAGATAGCTGGCTGAAGATAAGATGGTAGCTAAATCTCTCTCAAATCTGCAAATTTGTAAATCCAACACAAATACTTACTGCATTTCAAAACTTTCCCCAGCAGACACCCAGCATCACTTAATTAGAAGATTACAGACTCTTTCATGAATGCAGAGAATCATGGGCCTGACCCCTGAGGGGACTTCACCAGGTCACCCTACATTTAAAATATATTTGTGCAGAAAGCAACTCTCATGTCATCACATCAGCATCAATCTCTGAATCAGTAAGGACTGTCTAGCCTGGAGAAGAGGCAAAAAAGGACCCTGCAGTGTCATAACACCAGCCTGAGGACTTCATAGAAAGATGAATATAAAAAAAAGGCAAAAAACATGATGGGGGCCTTCAGAAAAGAAAGATGGGTGGCCTTAGGGTGAGTTGTGGAGCCCAGAGTGACCCTTTAAAATCATGTTTTAATCTATGCAGAACAGAAAACAGTATTCATTAGTGTTTTGCAGGAAAGCAAAAGCAAATTCCAAGTGTGAAATGGCAGAAAAACACATACTATGCTATTGTTATAATAGGATAAAAAAATCAGTGCTATTTGTGTCCTTTTTAGGCAAAACATCTTTGTAAACTTTTCTTATTTCATGACCACAATTGGGTCTGCAATTTGTTAATTTATAGTGTAAATCAATCGTTACTTGAAGTGTACACCCATGCATCATTGTCCATCAATGTTTTAGCTGAATCTGATGCTTTTAAAGCTAACAAGAAACTTGACTTAGACACAAAGAAGGAAGGTTTTTTTTTACCTCTACAGAAAGAACTAGTACATTATCATCTTGAGTTTTTTGTAGTTATGAGCAACCAGTCACAAAAATTATGCCGTGGAACCCAAAAGGGCAAAATACATTATTAAGGATGATGAAAACTATGAGGAAACATTAACTAATCTGAAGTTATTCACCACTGAGAAAAGGCAACTAAGAGAGGGAATGACGACCCTGTTTCAATTTAAAATGGTCCAAAATATAAAATTATGAGATTCTTGTAAATGGTCTAATTAGATGAAAAAGAGGAAATCTTTCATTTTAAGGGTGCCAAGAAAAACACAAATCCTTGCAAAAAAAAACATCTACAGCATCTACCTGTATGCTTGTATGCTATCTATCTACAGTTGTGACCAAAATTATTCAACCCCCATTGCTGTAAAGGGGTTTAGGGACTATAGTGACATTGGAATTGTATTCAGAATCAAATCCTACAAGGACGTGGGTAACTACCCAAATGCAACTAAAATCCATCAATTGTTTAAGTAAACATGAGTAAATGGTTCTTATGTGGTTTCTTCATTTGAACACAATTATTCAATGTGGTCAATTAAAGCCAAACTCTGAAGAAAAAAGTAATGGCCATTTTCTAAAGCTAATAGTCCAAGTATTGTCATTCAAAGGGCATGAAAGATTGGACACTGCCCCAGGGAACATGCAGCAATCAAGCAAAGTAAAAAATGACTTGATTTTTTTTAAACAATTACTGGTGTGGAGAATAAACATGGTGAAAAGAGACATGGACAGGAAACAAGATAAAAGGTGCCTTTTTTTTAAGGAAGGGACTTGGAGATGTCTATTGCAAAGATGTTAAACATACCAAGTATGCTGGGGTTTTTGCTGCATCTGGTTACCCGCACATCTCAAGGCATGTGTGTGCACGCTCCTGAAGAACTGGCTTCTGAGTCCTGGAATGCCAAGCCATGGAACATGCTGACTGCTCTGGACTTTGCCATAACTGAATGTACTCTTTGGAGTTGAAGTCCCCGTGTGACTGCTGAGAAGGAGTGTTTAAAGAGGTTTGTCACTTGGGAGCCAAAAGATTAAAGGACTGTGGGGAGTGAACACATGGTAATGAAAGCATTTTGTGCCACCATGTTTTATGTGAGGCATTGATTTCTGGTGAGTGAGATAAACTAAACTTTGAGAGTGGCTATCATGAGCACTGCACAGTGGTAGAGATCTTGTGGTACCCCCTTTTTGGGACACTTATGGTGTAACTTTTAGTACAAGTTTGTGTGGTGACTGACTAATGTAAATTCTTTTGAGTAATTTGTTTTCATTTCATATTTGGTCACTGATTTTTTTTTGAATATATTGAGTGTATTTATGAGATAACATATTTTTAGGGTGTAATCCACTTTGTGTCTGTATTTAAGTTTTTCAGGACACTGTTTGGAACCCTACTTTCTCTCCTCTGAACTACCCACTATCATTCTCGGAGATTTTAACATCCATATTAATGTCAACAACCCGGCTACATCCCAACTCCTCAACTTAACCTCATCTTTTGCATTAGCACAATGTATACAGTTCTCCACTCACTCTGATGGGAAAGGCTTTAGACTTTGTTTTCTCCCATCTTTGCACTCGCTACAACCTCACAAACACCGACTTTCCTCTCTCTGATCACAATCTCATCACCTTCACAGTGTCCTCGTCTTAAAACACCTATCCCTCCAAGCAGCAAACAATTACCCGCAGAAACCTTCACAACTTGAACCCTGCTCCTTTCCACTCTGCAAGCTATGCTTCAACTATAACCAACTCTACGACAGAATCTCTCCCCTGTCCTGCCCCGACCTGGCCACTGTTATCTAGAACAGTTTCGCTTTCATCCGCATTAGACTCACTTGATCCTCTTTAATGTAACACGAAGCATCAGGCCCCGACCGTTACAACCTTGACAGACTGACGATACCAGAAATCCTAAACGACATAATCAGTGGGTGCTGAAGCAATTGTGGAGTAAAATTAAATCCCAGCAAGCATTCACCCTATATAAATCTGCTTTCTCAACATACAATTCCTCCCTTCATGCTGCCAAACAAGCCTACTTTGTCACTCCTATTACTTACTTTTCCAGTCCTCATCGTCTCTTCTCTACTTTTAATTCTCTACTTTTCCCACCTGCACCTCCACCCAGTACCTCACTCACTGCTCACAAGATTGCAAATCATTTCAAAAACAAGATTGACGCAATTTGTAGGGGCATCGCCACTGCACAGACACACATCCCACTTACCATACCTTATACTAAACCTCCCTCAACACTTTCCTCTTTTGACCTTGCTACTACCAAAGAGGTCACAAAGGTTTTCTCAGAAGCCTGTCTCACTACCTGCCCCCTGGATCCTGTCCCCTCACAACTACTACAGTCACCTATATCTATATTGTACCGCGCTCCAAACTATATAAGTGCTCTAAATAAATTATGAATAAATATTGTGTATCACCAATTTTCTAATAATCTATAACCATAATGCTTCAAATCCATAATTGCATAATACTTAAATCCATGATTAAAGTGAATCAAAAAATTCTAATAATATTTGTAAATCAGTGCATTAAAAAACTGCGTGCATACAAAAACTAATAAAAAGTAAAAAAATGAAAAAATATAAATATATAAAAAATGAAAAAATAAAAAATAAACTGAAAGTAAAATTAATATGGGGTTTTTTCAGTTCATACGAATTGAGATAGTAATGTAGTTCAATCTAATCTGCGTAGTGGAGCAACAGTGGTAAGTCAATGTTCATCAGACATGAACCTCTCTCTCCTTCCTCCTCTCCTTTCTCCTCAACACAGCTTTTCTCAATAAGGACTTTCTCCTCTAGTTGCTTGGCTTATTCCTCCATAACCGATACATACAGAGAAGGGAGTGAAAAAAAAAACATAGTGTCTTATCCTGGGCCAACAAATGTTTTATGAGCTTTGATCTTCACATGGTATGAGACAAAAGTAGCGCTTTGTGAAATATATCCAAATCCTCCTGC